TGAAGCTTGAACTTATTTCTGGTAGGCAACATTTCTAATTTAAGTTGAAGCATTAAAATAAAATGAACTACATTTAAAAAGTAATATTTAAAGTGAATAATAAACAGACAATAACTGACTATCTCAACTTAAAATGGATTTTAAATTAATTAATTTAAAATATTAAAAAACTAATAGCATATATAATACTAAAATAACACTGGCAGTTGTAAACAGTGTAGATTGTGTAAGGTGTTGAACAGACATCCTAGAATTTCAAACTTAAACATTTGACAAATTATAGATCTTAATTATAGATCTCTGTTTTTAATGGCAGGATTTTAACAAATATTTGCACTACCGTTCAAAAGTTTGGGGTTGATTAGATTCAGAAAAGTCTCTTATGCTCATCAAGGCTGTGCTTATTTGATCAAAAATAGTCAAAAACGGAACAATTTTGAGAAATTATTACAATTTTAAACAACTTGTCTATTTGAATATATATTAAAAACCAAAGCTGAATTTTCAGCATCATTACTTCAGGCTTCAGTGTCACATGATCCTTCAGAAATCATTCTAATATTCTGATTTAATGCTCAAACTTATTAAACAGTTGTGCAACTTAATATTTTTGGGGTATGTTTTCTTCAGGATTCTTTGAATAGAAATTTCATAAAAGCATTGATTATTTGAAAAATTATACTTAAATTGTTCTTTATGGTCACATTTGATGAATTTAATTTGTCCTTTCTTAAAAGGATGAATTCCCTTGACAGGGAAAGAAAAATGTAGTGACCCCAAACTTTTGAAGGAAACGTATGACCAGTTTGCACCTCACATTAGGGCTGCACGATATATCAAAATTATCGAAATATCGCAAATGTGCATATCGCAATATGCATATCGCAAGGGCGTGCGATATCTGAATCATTTTAATAATAGGCTACTTAAATCAAAACGTTGCAAAAGGTCAAAGTTTTAGTTCGACGCATATAGCAGAGAATTGCTTGACGTTAAAGAGTTAAGTGCGATAAGTTGCAGAAAACAACTCTTTGCGGTCTCGTCTTGCTGTCTTGGCTCACACCTGAAGCGCGCGCACAAGCCGCATCTCGCACAGCGTCTCTTCAGTTCTGCCGCACACGTGCAAAGAAAAACAACTCTTTGCCGTCTCGTCTTGCTGTCTGACTCACACCTGAAGCGCGCGCAAAAGCCGCATCTCGCACAGCGTCTCTTCAGTTCTGCCGCACACGTGCAAAGCGCACGCACACAGAGACGCGTTTCAGACGGCACGTGAACACCGAATTGATTCGTCTTTCGCTTCTCCTCCTCATGTTTGAGCAGACACATACACACAGAATTATGTCAATAGTACCCGTCTCGACGATCATTCTCGTAAACGCAGTCGGTTATGTTTTAAATGAATGTAAACAGCTGAGAAAGAAATCGGATGTGTATCATTATACTGGATCCGTGCAGTCAGATTTAAAGGGACGGCGGCCTATAAATACATGCTGCTGAATATGTCACTAATGTTAATCAAACAACAAAAC